AATGGTTTATGGCAGAGGATAGCGTGTTCTGGCGTTATGAGTGATAATAATTAATACCGCACTATTTGTTGTTGCATGCAATGGGTCCAGAGGAAATATTCGTTAAGTGCAACTCCCCGCACGAGAGGATATTAATTAGCAGCTCAATTGGATTTATAGCTACTGCGAACATATAGTTAAAATGTGCCCATGTGTATTGTGATAATGAGTAATAGCTGCTAGGCCGGCTAGGAAGACGGCTAAGCTAGCCTTAGGCTCTTGTGCCAGGCAGATAAGGGCCAAGCTAGCTGTTGGGACACAAATACCTTGGTAGCGAAGACTAACAACCTATTTGTTTCGGCTGAATCGGCTTATAATTCATGACTGAAAGTACTGCTGGTTGGTTTGGTGTGAGAGAAAAATACTGTTGAAGCCATGGATTATAAGCCAGATACGAGCAAATAAGCCGAAACGAACAGGCTGTAACTCGCCTTTCTATAACTCCTTTGCCATGCACCTAGATGGAATTGCAAATCATTACCACAGTTCTCATTTTTAGACAGGGATTCGACAAAAACCTTCGCTCGCGACAGCTTGGCCATGCGAAGGCTCTAGACTGGCGGAGACCCGCCGATGAAGACCCATGGCTGAACCCGAGGCCAAGCATGGGATAGCATGGTGAAGGCCGCCGAATGAAAGACGGAGAGGCGAGCTGAAAGCCGGGAAGAACCGGCGGAGGCTCACAGCCTCCGCCCATCACATGTGTGGCTCCAAGGAAGGTCACAAGATACGAGGCTAATGGGCGGCATCCACTAAGCTCATGGATAAAGCCCATGAAGGCAAGGCAGGGGGGGGAGAGAAGACTCAAGATGCCTCTAGAGGCTAGACCAAGTATGGGCATATCCCGGGAATATGCCCGGTAGGTTGTAGGGTAAAGTTGTAAACTAACTCCCCTGTGTATAGTGACCTATAAAAGGGAGAAGCAAACCCCATGTAAAAGAAAGGAAGACCTTAGTGTTCTCACTTGAGTTCAACCTTCGCTCATGCGAAGGCCCTCTTGAGTCTTACCTTGCTGGGAACCGTTTTCCCAACACCAGCTCTGCAGTCGGCTAAGCTGACTTGGGTGTGAAGAGTCGGCTAAGTGGGGTGGGGAACCAACCTAGCCGACTTGCCTACTGCTAGGTGTTCCTTTGTTGCGGTTTTGTGTGTTCCACCGTGTTTCTCGCTGCCCTGCCTTAGTGTGCATTCCACTATGTTCTCTAGAGTTTTCTAAGGACATCCAGTCACCAGTTGACTCGTGTGCACTTCACAATGATGTTTTGCAGTTTATGTGGACGGTATTGGGACAACGGCCAATTTCACCTGAAATCTAAATCGGCTCTCATTTAAACCCCTCTAGTCGTCTTTTCTCATGTTTCTAATTTTATATTACAATAATATGTTTTGGGGAAAAAAATTGGGAACCTTACGAATTTGTATCAAGCATAATAGATGACATTATCAATCTAAATAAAGCTGATCTCACGTCAATATTTAATTTTCTATGAAATTGACAAAATATTAAACGCATAAAGTACAAACATGCATGTGCACTAGTAGCTTTCACAAGTTCTTTAGCTAGGCGTGAATTTGTGCAACGCCGAGCTAGCCAACCTCAGCGTTAATAAAGAACTCCACGCCGAGCTTTACCGCGTTTGCCACGCTGGTAGCGACGTGGCATGGTCAGCATTAGATCAAGGAACGCCGAGTCGCATACCTTGGCGTGGTGCCTGCGGCCGAGCTTTCGGTCTATTTCTGCAAATAGTTATGCCAGGGGTCTATTTCTAGAAATAATTTGTAAAAAGGGCTAAAATAGAAAAATTTCAAGGGAGAGGCGGCGCACACGAGCGAAGGCGTGAGCCGTGGGCCCGCGAGGGAAAATGAGAGAGCATGTAGCAGAGATTGCCGTGCGGCCGTGCGGGTACTTGTGGCAGAACAACTCGAAATAGCACGCTTTCGAAGGCGCTCGTCTTCCACTAGACGCTAAGCACCCTAAAAGTAAGCTACATCGGACGGTCCCGTTGAGCACACCCTAAGGGAGAACTCGAACAATCTACGTTTTTCATCTAAGATCCAATAATGAGAACGAGTTTACAATACTTAGTCTATTTCATACAACAAGAGTTCTTGGAAATACATTATTACAATAACAAGTACATAGTGCAGAATTTAATACAGCGAAATTGAAATAAACATATAACGATAAGATACAAGGATCCGTCTATGCCCACCAGAAGAATCCTCCACACAACAGCCACTCCTCAAGCTGCACCTGCAACAGGGGTAAATAAACCCTGAGTACACAATGTACTCGCAAGACTTACCCGACTAGTGGGAATAATTTCTTGACTCCAAAGGATATGATAAGCTTTATGATTTGCTGGGTTTCCTTTTTGTTTGCGAAAAGCATTACTACTAGTGAATCCTTATGTATGTGTTTTATTAGCAGTCATGATTAGTTCATTAGCTAACCATTTTATGTAAGCGCCTGTTCTACTTTCAAGCAAGAGTTGAGCAATCAGATCCATTCACTCTCTTTCATCTTTCAGTTCTTACTACGGTGCTAGATCATAGCCAAGCCGTACCGTATCACATGACGATTCGTGAACCAATGTATCCCAGCTGGATACTCCGAAACACACGCCCCGTGTAATGCCCTGAAATAATAAAAAGAGAGAGAGAGAGCTAGATGGGCCTAGGCCCATCTGCTGGTGCCGCCTCCCCCTTTTTCTCCTCCCTCTCCTAGCCGCCACCCCTTTCTCCTTTCCTCTCCTGGCCGCACCTTCTTCTTCTTCTTGCAAAAGTTTCCCATGGATCTCTTGCTCTAGAGCCTAAATCAAGAAGAAAAGTTAGGGAGCAGGGGAGGAGCAGGGAGAGGTGTGGGTTGGAGTTCTCCCACCGTTCTCCTTGCGGGATCTTCAAGGGAACGCTAGGTGAGACTTGAGTTCCTGTAAAGTGCAAGTTTTAGAGGTGTTCTGGATGCCTAAAAGTCGAGGAGGAGAAGGGATTAGAGAAGGGTTTAAGGGATGTTTTCGTTTTGGTCACGCAGTGGGTGGACAGGCAATTAGGGTTTCAGTGTTTTCCTTCTCTCCCTGTACAGCTGTAGATCGGTCTGTTTTTGAGGTATTTACTGGCCGAATTAGGGGATTTCATATGAACGGAAGTTGTAGGGCATTTGAAGACCTTTCCAATGAGTATTTAAGCTTAATTTTTCGTTGAGCATAGCAAAAGTTATGGCTTTCTGAATGTTGCCGATGGTTACTGCAGTTCTATCAGGTCGGGGTCAGTTTCGAACTCCAGTTTTCAGCATCGTTTTAGAAGTTTTCGAGGCCATTTTGGTCCAGGGTGCTATGGAGTATTTTGTAGTACTTTGTATGAACTTTTCATTGAGTATTTAAACTCTGTTTTAGGATCAATGGCTTGGGAGGTATGGTTTTCTGAAGACAGAGTTGCTGCTCTAGAAACTCAGAGTAGTCTGTTGCTTTGTAGGCTGCATTAAAAATAGTAGATGTTGAAATTTTAATTTCTGCTGAATACCAAGGTTGTAGCTTATTCAGTGTAGATGCTTGTTAGCTATTTATTTGTTATCACAACTGCTACGGTTTCAGAGTTAAAAAAAAGAACGAGCAGCACTGCTGCTGTTTATCGGGGTCAAGTGGGGGTTGTTTTTCATCGATTGCTTGTTCGGACGTAGGGCCGTTTTTGTTGATTATTTACAAGTGTTATTCGGGGTATTTGTACTGAGTTCTTTGTTTTAAAACAGGTGGTAGTGCCTCAGATCGCCCCTAGTCCTTTTTGACCTTCTTCGGTAAAAAGGCAAGTGAATGTAGCAGTGGTTCGCTACTGTTTTGACTTGTTATCTTTATCACCTACACCACAATGTTCGGAACCATGTCATAACAACTGTGAACTGAACCTTTCTGATGTTCCTCTCTCAATCGTAATTGGATGCCTTATTTCTTTATATATGATGTGGTTGTGATGCACTGATGCTAGCACGTTCTTGTGGTCAAATCACATGGCTTTGGAGAAGGTGAAGTTATATTGCTATTATTGTAGCATGTCATATGCATTGCATCATTCGAATGCATTGGAAGTTATATCGTTGACCTATGGTCACGACCGTACCGGTACAGCATCATGGGATGCAGCTCCATACCTTGTTGGGTATGCAGGCAGGAGTCATTTGGATTGCACTCATATGCATTTATGAAACATATTTGAAGTGACATGACCTTGCTAATATAATATTGAAGGTGTATCACCTCTCTGTGGTTTTATTTGGAGGTGTTCTTTACATTGGTTTTATATGTTGCTTATTCAGAGATGGAATCCTTTACTAAATTGCTGCTTAACACAACTTGTGATTTAAATAGCTCAAATTTTTTTTACTTGCTGAGATGTTTTCATCTCACCCTTGCATTATTCTTCCCAGGTACTTGATAGTTGCTCGGATGGGAAGGGAGCTAGCTGCACGTTTCACACACCTTCATTTGGAGACTATTCCATAAACTTAATAACGTAGTTGTGATAATTAGTTTTGTGGATGTTTATTTTATGCTAGTGTGGTCTATATGTGTCATATCTTTGTTCTCACCTCCGTGTTGCTTATATTTACAAAGGAGGTGCTGTCGTTTTTTTATTTAGTATGTCCAGCTAGTGTTTGTGTTGTTTAGTAGCACCCTGGGGTGTTACAGTTGGTACCGGAGCGGGTGTTAGATTCTCGGAAAAATAAGGATTAATTTTACACACTTGCACTTTTAGGATGGGTAATTATTGTTTTGACTGTTTTTTATTGTTAGGACATAATCTATTAAATATATGATATGTTTCAATTGAACTTGGCGTGGGCATGTTTTTTTTAATGTGGTTATTGTTTGTTGGCCGTGGTGGCTGCAGCAATGCTGCCTAAGAAGGGACGACGGGGTCGACCAGCGACTAATCGTTCAACGGATAATAATCTACCTCCTGACGTAGTGGCAATGGCAGCCACGATGCAGCAGGAGTTGGAGACCTTGAGGCAAGCTGCCAATGCTGGTGCTGTTACCGCTGCTACCGTTGGTGCCGCTACTAGCACCGTTCCTGCTACGGGTGCTATTCCCACTGGTGTTCCTCAGACTGCACTTCCGGTCAGTGGTGTTTCTCTTGTGAAGTGGATTGGCATGAAGTTGGATTCCTTTGATGGCAGTGGCTCTCCAGTTGAGGCACAAATTGGCTGACTTATGTGGAGGATAAGATGGATGTCTTCGAGGTGGCTTATGGGGATCGTGTTCGCTATGGGACACAGTTGCTAAAGGGTGAGGCTCAGATATGGTGGAGAGGCATGCAGACATCTCATTCGTCTGCACCTGGATCTTTGACTTGGCATGTCTTGGCCAGGGAGTTTGAGAGGAGGTTTTACCCAACCACTTTTCTAGAGAAGATGAAGATAGACCTGCAAACTTATAGGCAGGATAAGAAGACAGTGGCTGAATATGAGGTGGGCTTCAACAAGATTGTTCGCTCTGTTCCACATGTGGCCCGTAATGAGGTAGAGAAGGCAAGCTAGTTTCGTCAGGGTTTGAAGCCTTCGATTAGGCACACTTTGGGGGCCTTTCCATTGGTGGATTTCCGCACCACCGTGGAGCAGGCTTTAGGTGTGGAGATGCAGCAACAGTACACTAATGAAATTCAAAAACCTTCTAGCGCTGATCAGTCTCGCTCTTAGGATGACAAGAAGGGCCAGTCTGGTGGTCCAGCTCACAAGAAGGGGAGGTTTCAGCGTCACCATCCATATCGTGGCAAGTCCTTTCACTCTAGTTCTTCAGAGGAAGTACGCCTCGATGCGGGCTGTTCCTAAACCAGGGCATGGGGCTAGTGTGTTTCATTGTGGTGATGCTTTGACACATGCAGTGCCATGGAATGGGAGATGTTCCATTTGTGGCCGGACCACAAGGATGTGGTATGTAGGAGGAATCCAAATGCAAAACTCCGTTGGGAACCAGTATCTTCTTTAGCTTCTAGTGGCACCGCCAACATGTTGACATCTACAAAGAAGATGTTTACGTGCCACCTAGTTAGCGATGCCATTTGGTCGCACCTTCCTACCCTCGATGCTTTGCGCGCTCCTTCTACACCGGTCGCTCCTTTGACGCCGCATCTTTGGGACTCTTCGACCGCCACGACCTCTTGCTCCTCCAAGTGTATCCGCTACCACCCGGACTTCTTCTCCTACTAGCTTTTCGCCAAGTGTTTCTTCCTCTGCGGGTGTTCCTCGAGCTTATCGTTGCCTCTCATCGATGGCAACAATGGAGATATTATTCTGTACTATCTCGGTGGATTCATTTGATGCATATGCACTTTTTGACTCTGGCGCTAGTTTCTCGTTTGTCTCGGAGAGTTTTGTGGCTCGTCGTCTTGGCCTTTCTGTCTTTCAAGATTGGTCGTGCCATTGTGGTCAATTCAAATGCTAAAGGTTTTATGTCTAGTAGTTCAATTTGTCCGGGTTGCTCTATCGTTCTTGCCGATGAGGGGTTTGTTGCTAATCTCATGGTGATCCCCCTTGAGTCTTTTGATGTTATTCTGGGTATGGATTGGCTTTCTCAATATCGGTCATTATCTCTTATTTCGGAAGACGGTATCCTTGCAGCACCTTCGTGTAGAGAGGTGATTTTGTAGGTAGTGCTATGAAGTACTCTCTTGCACTTCTATGCTTGTTGTTCCCAGATCATTTGGACTAGGAAATCTGGAATTCTCTTCTCTATGGTGGATGGCAGTGAGGTTGCCTTACGAGTGGAGGACATACGAGTGGTGTGTCATTACCCTGATGTGTTTCCTGCTGAGCTTCCAAGTATTCCGCCTGAGCGTGATGCGGTTTTTGAAATCAAATTGGTTCTGATGCAATTTATCCATAAGACTCAGACGGATGGCTCCAAAAGAGCGAGTTGAGTTGAAGCGGCAGTTGGATGATCTTCTTGCTAAGGGTTTTATCAGACCTAGCAAGTCGCCTTGGGCTTTTCCTGTGCTATTTGTGGAGAAGAAGGATGGTACCAAGAGGTTATGTGTGGATTATCGTGACCTTAATCGGGTGACCATCAAGAATAAATATCCTTTACCTCATATAGATGTGCTCTTTGAGCAATTGCAGGGTGCCAAGGTATTCTCTAAGATTGATTTGAATTCTGGCTATCATCAATTGAGAATAAGGGAAGAAGATATAGAGAAGACAGCTTTTAGCACTAGGTATGGGCATTATGAATATATTGTTATGTCTTTCGGACTGACAAATGCCCCTACTGTGTTTATGGAAGCTATGAATAGGATGTTACATGAGTACTTGGATGATTTCGTTGTCGTTTTCCTTGATGATATCTTGATTTACTCAAAGTCCGAGGAAGAGCACGAGCGGCATCTTAGGCTTGTTCTGGATGCCCTTCGGAAGAATTAATTTTATGCGAAATTGAAGAAGTGTGCTTTTTGGCTCTCTGAAGTTGCTTTCCTTGGTCATGTTATTAATCAACATGGCATTTCAGTTGATCCTAAGAATGTTGCTAGTGTTGTCAGTTGGCAGAGACCGACTACAGTGACTGAGATTCGTAGTTTTCTAGGTCTTGCTGGCTATTATCGGCGTTTTGTGTAGGATTTCTCTTGCATTGCTAAGCCGCTGACTAGACTTACAGAGAAGGGTGTTCCCTTTGTTTGGAACAATGATTGTGACACTAGTTTTCAGACCTTGAAGGATAAGTTAGTGAATGCTCCTATCTTGGCCTTACCAGAGAGTGGAAAGCGCTTCATAGTATATACGGATGCGTCCCATGTTGGTCTTGGGTGTGTTTTGATGCAAGATGGCAAGGTGATTGCTTATGGCTCTAGGTAGTTGAAGAAGCATGAGAGAAATTATCCTACCCATGATCTAGAGTTAGCTGCTGTTGTGTTTGCCTTGAAGTCTTGGAGGCATTATCTCTATGGTGAGTCTTGTGACATCTATACTGACCATAAGAGTCTTAAATATATTTTCACTCAGAAGGAGCTAAATCTGAGGCAGCGTAGGTGGCTTGAGTTGATAAAAGATTATGATCTTACAATTCAATATCATCCGGGGAAGGCGAATGTGGTGGCAGATGCTCTTAGCAGAACCGGTGTTCCAAAGGTCGCAATGCCTTTGATTGTAGATTTGAGTCATATGGGCGTCTCCTTGTGCTATGCTGGTACTGCAAGAGAGGAGACTCAGTTGCTCATTTAGTCAAACCTTCTTGAGAAGGTCCGTGAAGCTCAAAAGCATGATCGCTTGATTCAGGAGGTTCGCAAGAAGATTGGGGATGGCAAACCTCATGAGTTTAGTATTGATGAGAATGACGTGGTTCGTTTTAGAGGACGCCTTTGTGTGCCACAAAAATCAGATGTGAAGATGGATATCTTAAGGGAGGCACATCGGACTCCTTATACAGTTCACCCTGGTGAGACCAAAATGTATCGAAACTTGAAACAAAACTTCTGGTGGAAAAGGATGAAGGTGGATGTTGCTAAATATGTGGCATCATGTGGAGTGTGTCAGCAGGTTAAGGCGGAGCACAAGAAGCCAGCAGGCTTGTTAAAGCCTTTGGAGATCCCAGAGTGGAAATGGGAACATATTACTATGGACTTTGTAGTTGGTTTACCTCGATCACCTCGAGGTAATGATGCTATATGGGTTGTTGTGGATAGACTCACCAAGTGTGCCCATTTCATTTCAATGAAAACAAAAAAACTCTGCACCGGATTTAGTTCCCTTATATATTAGGGAAGTGGTGAGATTGCATGGTGTGCCCAAGTCAATCATTTCAGATCAGGACCCAAAATTTGTGTCTAATTTTTGGCAAAGGCTACAAAATGCCTTAGGCACAAAACACACACTTAGCACCGCTTTTCACCCACAAACGGATGGTCAATCAGAACGTACCATTCAAACATTGGAGGACATGCTTCGTGCTTGTGTTCTTTCTTGGAAAGGCACTTGGGAGGATCATTTAGCTTTGGTAGAGTTTGCTTACAATAATAGCTACCAAGCCAGTATCAAGATGGCTCCATATGAGGCTTTGTATGGAAGAAGATGTATCTCTCCCATATGTTGGGAAACTTTGGGTGAAAGGTCTTTGGTTGGTCCACATTGGGTTCAAGAGACTTCTAAAAAGGTGCAACAAATACGACAAAATTTGTTGGCTGCTCAGAGTCGGCAAAAGAGCTATGCCGATATTAGAAGGCGAGACCTAGAGTTTGCTATGGGAGATCTGGTTCTTCTCAGGGTATCACTAACCAAAGGTATTATGCAGTTTGCCACTATAGGGAAGCTTAGCCCAAGGTACATCGGTCCATTCAAGATCATAGCCCATGTTGGCAGTTTAGCCTATCGTTTGCAGTTACCAGATTCATTGAGGGGAGTGCACAATGTATTTCATGTTTCCATGTTGTAGAAGTATCTAAGGGATCCTGAGCACAAGATTGATCTAGAGACAATTAGAGTGAAGAAGGACTTGACAATCAAATACCGCCCGGTGTGCATATTGGACTCCTCAGAGCAAGTCTTGAGGACGAGAACTATCAAATATGTTAAGGTTCTATGGACTAACCAGTCAGAGCGAGAAGCAACTTGGGAACTGGAAGAGCAGATGCGTAAGGAGTATCCAGAACTATTTGTCACCGGTGAGTTTTATGAAGTTAAGTCTGTTTTGCCATTGTGTTGGTTTCTATCATAGAAGTGTCTGAATTCGAGGACGAATTCTCTTATGGGGGGTAGAGTGTAATGCCCTAAAGTAATAAAAAAGAGAGAGAGAGCTAGATGGGCCTAGGCCCATCTGCTGGTGCCACCTCCCCCTTTTTCTCCTCCCTCTCCTGGCCGCCACCCCTTTCTCCTTTCCTCTCCTGGCCGCACCTTCTTCTTCCTTCTTGCAAAAGTTTCCCATGGATCTCTTGCTCTAGAGTCTAAATCAAGAAGAAAAGTTAGGGAGCAGGGGAGGAGCAGGGAGAGGTGTGGATTGGAGTTCTCCCACCGTTCTCCTTGCGGGATCTTCAAGGGAACCCTAGGTGAGACTTGAGTTTCTGTAAAGTGCAAGTTTTAGAGGTGTTCTGGATGCCTAAAAGTCGAGGAGGAGAAGGGATTAGAGAAGGGTTTAAGGGATGTTTTCATTTTGGTCACACAGTGGGTGGACAGGCAATTAGGGTTTCAGTGTTTTCCTTCTCTCCCTGTACAACTGTAGATCGGTCTGTTTTTGAGGTATTTATTGGCCGAATTAGGGGATTTCATATGAACGGAAGTTGTAGGGCATTTGAAGACCTTTCCAACGAGTATTTAAGATTAATTTTTCGTTGAGCATAGCAAAAGTTATGGCTTTCTGAATGTTGCCGATGGTTACTGCAGTTCTATTAGGTCGGGGTCAGTTTTGAACTCTAGTTTTCAGCATCGTTTTAGAAGTTTTCGAGGCCATTTTGGTCCAGGGCGCTATGGAGTATTTTGTAGTACTTTGTATGAACTTTTCATTGGGTATTTAAACTCTGTTTTAGGATCAATGGCTTGGGAGGTATGGTTTTCTAAAG